ACAACATTTCTTTCTTTTCCAACTCTAATACTAGCTCATTTCTGGCTTGAAGCCAATCCTGTAGCTGTTACACATCTTTCTATCTTTTATTTATCCTGAGACAACATAATTATGATATTAACAAGATTATTATAGTTAATGTAAGATAGATCTTTTCATTTCACAAGCACTTTCACTGCCTCCTTTCACATGATTTTACCTTAGCATTTTCCAGAAATTATCTTCTTCCACTTATTGAAGGATTATTGTAACAAAGGGAAAAGATAATTGATGTAAAATGCTTTGAAATATGATATATTTTTAGAAGAGACGTTGCTACAATTCCTCTGATTTTTCTCTGATATTGAAAGTGGCTTTCTGAAGATGATAACAAAGTAGATGAAAGAATAATACCCAACAAAAGAAGCAAAACAGGTTACACTTCAAACACTATGCTTCCTGAGACGAGATTTTAACAACTCTTTGATTCACAAAGATAAAAATACGGTATGTTTTTATAAGTATACTTCCTTAAGGTGGAATTGTGTTTGAGTAAATACATACATAGATTTTTCCCTACTTGAGATAAGGTATACATCTAGAATCTATGAATGCCATGAACTTAAATACCATGCTATAGTGATTTCTTTTTCTTCTTTATACAAAAATACTACAACCTACATTTCTAGTTCATTGGAAAATGCATGGATTAGAAGTGCAGGAATTCTGTGGCTTGGCTTCCCTAGACATGCTCCTGTTTCTAAATACAGAATCAGGAGCGACCCTACTAGCAGCAAGAGAGAGTTGCTTTCTATACCTGCCTAAAGCTCCCTCCCTGGTTAGCAGCATATTTCACTAGTGATGCCATGCTTAGTACTCTGTGAGGCCTGGCAAGGGCTGAATCCTTCACAGACAAAGGGAGTGTCTTTGATGTGTTGTTTTTGCCAAAGGAAAAGGCATAAGGGAAGAGCAAAATATTGGTAACAACCGGGAAGCAGAGTCAGCTACATCTTAAGCAGTTCCAGCCAGCTTACAATAATAAAAAGAAAATGAGGTGGTAAGTGGACATCTGTGATGTGCAGCACTACTCTGTCTAAGAAAGTCTTTCCACAGAAGCATATTTAGGCTCACAGAAAGGGCAGCATGGAAGCAGTGTAAGGGAAGGAGATGAGGGTTTGAGAGGTCTGAAAGGAAGGTTATATAGATCTTTGGTAGTGAATACTGAGAGCTCTAGCCCATGTAAGAGGCAAAACAGTGACTGAGTCAAGAATATCGTCCAGAGAAATGTTACTTGGATTTTGTCCATTTTCTGCCTCTTGGGAAAGTCATTGAACTTCTTTGTGCCTCAGTTTCCACTCATTTCATTTAGTTATAAAGTTTAAATACTGCGGTATGTAAAGAGTATGTGAGTATCTAGGACATAATAAACAACTATGATAAATAATGAATTGTAGCTATTATTATTATTATGAATGCCATCAGAGAAGGAAACCACTCTCACATATGAATATGACATCAAGTCCATGTAATCTATGCATAATTCAAAAAAGTTGAGTGAGAACAAAGTTTATAGTCAATTGAAACTCCTACATCATGATAAACATTTTTCATACAGTTTTTCTTGAGTTTTAACTACCATGGATTAAGGTTGTTATTTAGGTAACAGTCTATTCTGGCTTCTGGTATGAAGGATTTTTCTTTAATGGAAAGCATACACCTCATCTTAAGTAGGAAATTCTGCGACTCAGACTGGGCTATTCTTCCCAGGACTTTCTACCTTATGCTGAGCACAGAATAAAGATGTAGATTGGAGTGAATTTATTTTGGATATTATATATTGGAGGCATAGCTATGTGTGGAGGCAGGCTATGAGAAATGCAACCTCAACTCTCCCCTTGAACCTACGGTAATTTATCTGGGAAACATTGTTGAGTTCCCTGAACTGTGAGGTAAGTAACTTGCTTCAAGCAGCTTTAAATCTTCTTCAGGGAGTGAGCTGTTGCTATGCTTTGTGCTCTTAGCTCTGTGCTCCTTGACTTGGAACTGTGAACATTACCCAGAATGCTTCAGGGAGACCAGGATCTGAAATACAATGTGCCTAGGGAAAATTCTTCAGGGAGGAAAATACTTTATAGATGAAGGGGGAATTAAGAGTTAGCTGCAAGGCTTTATTTAAGGAAAAATAGCCCAAGAGGAACCCAAGCACAGGGGAAACCAGCTACTCATACAAGCAGCATATTGACTGTTTTCTGTTTTCATTGATGCTGTGTGTAGTTAGGTAGCATCTGCTACATAGGGTGCACTGTCCTAGGCACCACAAAAATATTAGTGGACACAATAAACTTCTCTGCTTATGGAGCTGACTCTCTTTGTGCCACACATGCCAGGGATTCCCAAGAGTGAACACTCTCCTTTCATAGGGTATTCTGAATGAGGGGAGAAAGTAAGATGGCAATAAAACCTGATGTAGTGAGTATTTAGGTGTTTAGGGATTCTCTGCTTTCTGAAGGTCAGGGAATGTTTCTTGGGAAAGTGACTTTTAGATTGAGTCCTGAAAAAGAAAGAGGACTCAATCAGGTATCAATGTCAGGTAAAGAAGGAAGCTTTTACCAAGGTACGCAGAGGAGAAACAGTGGACAGTGCTGCTGCTGCTCACTGTGGCTGCACAGCCAAATGGAGGGTCTTAGCAACTACGTTACAGAGTTTTTTTTTTTATTTTGAGACATTTGGAAGTTAATAATGAATGATAACGAAGGAGCGATGTGAGTGTATTTCACTTGTAATACACAGAGTAATGGGAATATAGAGAATGGATTGACAGCAGAGGCCCTGGAAGAAAGCCAGTTTCAGATCTAAAGAGAGGAGTGGTGATCCTCTCAACAGAGACAGCAATCATGGAGATGGAAAGACTTGGGAAGATTTAAGAACTGTCAAGGAAGTGATTGCCTGGTAGTGGGTGGTGAGCAAGAGAGTGGAAGGAGATGACTCTCGGGTTTCCAGCGTGGGAAACTGCATGGAAGATGATATCATTCACTAAGACACGGAGGTGGAGAAGCAAATTCAGATGGGGAACTATGATTAGTTCAGTTTTGAACATATTGAGTTTGTAGTGTCTGTGGGACATGGGCATGGAAATGCTCCGTGGGCAACTAAATGTGGCACATGGAGAACAGGAGAGAGATATTTGTGTGCAGATGAATAGATCCCGGGAAAGGATCCTGGAAAGCTCTGGCAGTGGTCAGTACAGAAAGAGAAAACTGAACAGGAAAAGGCAAAGCTAAGTGGAAAAGTCAGGGCATACGGAGTTAGAGAAAGGAATGAAGGAAGGAGAAGGGGGTCTAAGAAGAAGGCACTCAATGTCAAATACTGATAGAGGTCACCGAGACAGGGTACTGAAATATGTCTGCTGGATACAGGAACAATAGTGCCATTCAACACTAGGGTGACTATCTGTGTGGATGGCTTGGTATTCTCCCATTTTATGCTTGTCCAAGCATCATTATTATTAGTTCCCATTAGTGCATACAGTTGGATAATTATACCACCATCTTTGGTTGGTTAGAGAGAATACTTTCAGCAACATGTGGAAGATTGCAGTGGATGGAAGCATTAGATGAGACGACTTTCTGAAGGCCTGTAAGGCCACTGGAGAAGGACATTTAACAATGGGTGAATATCGCACTATGTAGATTTTGAACTTTCAATCCTGGGATAGGTGGTAGCTCTGTTTCTTTTATTCTTGTGGGTCTTTAAAATAAGTGAAAAACAAGACTTTCTGCTTCACACATTACAGAGCTAGGTTTTATTATTTTACAAAGCAAATGTTTTATAAGTAAGTTTTTTTTTTAATTTTACTACATCAAAATGAACATCAATTACTTGAAGTGTCCTTCATCCCCCTGACCATGAAGTAAAAATGGGGAGCCATCTAAGCAGGAGGCTCATTTTTTTCTTCTGAATTATCTTGTATGTTTAAGCACTGTCAGTAATGCTAAGACAGGGAGCAAATATTTTGCCTCTTTCTTCAGATATTTTTCGCCAAGGAAGCCCAGGGAAGAAAATGCATGCTTCTCAGTTTATTTATACTGATTTTTGATTTGGGGAGCTCGAAGAGTAAACCAAACTGATACCTGTGAGAGTTTAAGCATTTACACATGAAGCAGGAAAGATACAAATAACATGGGTGGGTTTTGTTGATGTTGTTTACCATTTATGTAGAGAAGGAAGATGATGATCAAAACTGTTATTTTCCTATTGTAAAACAGTGTCTCAGGGCAATGGAAAAGCTATACAAAGTGAAAGGAGTTCTGATCCCATATGGACAAGGCAGAGGGCAAATCAAGAGTGGCAGGAGCCCATGGCCTCTATGTAGCAGTGGATAAAATCAGAGCAACAAGCTCTACATATGTATGTGAGCCGAATTTGCTTGTTGAAGTCACGCTTCGGCCCTGAGCCTGTCCACCACAATCCACCCCCTTCTGTGGGCCTCTTCCCAGTAATTGGGTATCTTAGGGTTAGGTTAGAGGGACCTATAGTAGCTTGTGTCCTTGAGATGCAAATGGCTTCCTTAGATATGAGAGGTGGATTTCTGTGAGTGGTACTTCTGTTTGAGAAATGAGACAAATGGGAAATAATAAACTGTGCAGCAGCCGTAATTTCTGTCATATCTAGGCCCGTGAACAGCCCCCATACAGCATGATTTAACAAAACGTGATCTTTCTTTCCTTTTACTGTTTCTTCAGAGCACTCTGTTGCTAATCTGACCATAAACCATTATGCTAAGGAGTCACTGTAACTAAAAAGTTTGTAACTGTATTTCAAATATTTGCATATTAAATATTTAAGTTGTTGATAATAAGGCCAAATGTCCCATTTAAAGGATTATTTGCCATTTACTCTTGGGATATGTACTCATTAGGCTCACAGTGTAGCACACTGTTTTCTGTCTAGGCTCCGACTACGTTGGCCAGGTTTTCTCTGCCTCATCTCTCTCGTTTCTCTTGTGTGCATTTGTCTTTCAGTAAGCAATGACCTTGGTTTCGCTTCTGTTTTGGATGACCACCACCACATAGGGCCTGAATGTCCTGCTGTTTTCCAGGGACGGAAAGAAGACCCTGTACTTGTCTGTTCCGAGGGCAGTCTTATAGTAGGAAAACCATCGAATGGGCCACAGTTTCAGCACACTGTCATGTGAATGGGACCAGTCTCTGTTCTTCCAAAACATCAGAGATTAAGCACTTGGGAAGAAGATTTGGCCAAGATGACACATTTGCAGGCTGGGCTCAGTCCAGACACTATAGAGAAAGCACGCCTGGAACTGAATGAAAACCCGGATGTTTTACATCAGGACATTCAACAGGTTAGAGACATGATCATCACCAGGCCGGACATCGGGTTTTTACGTACAGACGATGCCTTCATCCTGCGATTCCTCAGAGCCAGGAAGTTTCACCAAGCGGATGCCTTCAGACTCCTGGCCCAGTACTTTCAGTACCGCCAGTTAAACCTGGACATGTTCAAAAACTTCAAGGCGGATGATCCTGGCATTAAAAGGGCTCTGATCGATGGGTTCCCCGGAGTGCTGGAAAACCGTGACCACTACGGCAGGAAGATTCTGCTGCTGTTTGCTGCCAATTGGGATCAGAGTAGGTAAATGTAGATAGTGTCTTTACTTGGTTTTGCTTTTTCATAGCATCATCACTGCATGCTGGGGTTGGATGGCTTCACGGGGAAAGGGCTTCCATTTTCAAAATCCATTTTACATACCCACAATGGTGGTGTTATGGTCACAAGTGTAAAGCCATCAAAAAAACAAGTCTGAATTAACAGTGGTGGTTTACCACAAAGGAATTGTAGCTTTTGAGTGGTACCAGACCTTAGAAATGAGTGATGTGTTCATCAAAGTGAGTTGTTTATTTTAACAAATCTAAAACTGACCTAGAAGATCCACAGTCTGTCTTTGATAATCTTACCTTTAACAATACAACAATGAATTCAGTGGATGGCCTTAAATCAAGTGTTTCCACATAGAAAATAATTTCTCAGATGCTCTCCATGGCATTAATAGCCTTTTCTTCTCAGTGCCAGATATTCCACCCAAACACCTGCAAGACTTTCTTCCTATTTATTCTATAAAGAACCCCAAATTCTACACTCCCCAGGCTGAATGCCCCCGCCCCACCATTCCTGTTCACCTCTCCAGCCAGTCCCTCAGACCAGAATGTGGAATCATTTCGACTTTGATCCTAATATCTGATTGCATGACAAATCCTCCCCATCCTCTTTTTTCTCAGAGACGTCTCCATTGTCTTCACTTCTCTGCTCCCACTGCATTGCTGTTGCCCAAATTCGGGTTCCCATTAGTCTATAAAAACAACTGCAGTAGAACTGTAAGATCCTTGTTATGGTCGGTAGCATTTTTGAGTGCTTGCCACATGCTTTGCTAAGCATTTATATATAATCTCATTTAATCCACCCTAGAACTTGTCACAATACATGTCATTACCCTTACTCTATTTCACACTTGAGGACTCAGAATTTGAGAAACGAAGGCACTCATTCAATGTGGCACGCCTGGTGAAATACAGAGTGGAAGTTGAACACTGGAGGCCTGACTTGAGAGTGAGTTGCCTCACCCTAGCTTTACTGTAACTGTGTTTATGAGATCAAGGGAGGGGGCCTTTTACATGCTCATCTCTTTGTCGTGTAGCACAATATCCAAAGATTGTCAAATGAGAAACATAAGTAAATGAACCCATCTCTGAAGCCTCAGCTCTGGGTTGAGCTTTCACAACAATATCATTATTGACGTCAGCTAATGGGAAGACACAGGTTTAACTTAAATATACCAAAGCACCTTCCAATACTATTGAAAGGAGTTTCAATACTTTACATTCTTTACGTTTCCTCATGGTTCTTCTCTAAGAATAATGGTAGTGTAGGAAGCCCTCACAACTTTTGACTATTTTCTGGTTGATTAGTTGGGGCAGGGCCAGCTTACCCTGGAAAAAGCACATACCTGTTTTCAATATGTCAGTCTAGAGTTTAGACAGGTCGTCACCTGGACTAACAATAATGATGTGGAATGAGATATAATATGTATCATATTCATAATACAGTTGTTGATGGGCCTCTCATTACATTGCTGCACTGATAAGAAAGATTACTGTATCTTTGCATTCATCTATCGGCATCATTCAATCAACAAACATTTACAGGCCAAGCGTAGACTTTGAGGACCCTAGAGGAATGATGAGCACACATGGTCTCCATCAGTAAAGATCTCATGTGCAGCTCATGGTCCAGAAGTGGTGCAGCATATAAACAGCTAGCCATATCCACCACTGGATAAATCCTCCTGAGATAGATGAGACATCAGCACAGTATCAGCCCTACACTGGAGGGAACACTTGTTCTCCCAAGAATGGCACATTAACATTTTGGGTTTGGAAACCGGAAGGTTTTGGTGATTTTGGAGAATAATCATGCTGACATCACTTGTGCTAAGCTGTCAGTGTTCTAGAACTTCCATCTGCTAAGACAAATGATGCACGGAACACCAGTAAGTTGTGATGTTCACATAAAGAAATGAACCACAGTAAAATGTTTTATTTTGTATTAAGATTTTGTCTGTATATATCCCAAAACATGTCAGGAAGAAGAGGTAACAAATCTCTGGGGAAATAATGCAAATGTTTATGATTATGGTAACCTTGACCAAATTACTTCCCTTCTCTGTTCCTCATGTGTAAAATAAGCTTCCAGCTCTAATGGCTCATGAATGAGAAGCTCATTCAGCTGATGGGTGGGGAGGGATTTTAAAACTCACTTTATAGCTGCTCATTCTCTCAACTTTTAAAAATAAGCCCCCTCCCCGCCCTCTTCTCTCTCCTCTCTTTTTCTCTCTTCCATACTTTCTTTCACTAATTTTCCTCTAACTATACAATATTTGAACCAAACCATTGTGCTTTTGACAAAGTGGTGTTGATAAGTCTATCCGTTTGACAGTGAACAATCATTGGATGCAAAGTTCATTTGAATCTGGATGTGGCTGTGTCATTTAGTCGTAATATGACCATAGACAAGCAGCTTCTCAGACTGGCTTCTGTCTTGTAAGGTGAAGATGATAATGAAGTCTTTATGTGGAGTGGGACGGACAGTGAAATGGCACATTTGGCACACAGTAAGAACTCAGTAGACATTGACTTCTGGTATTATTACTAAAATTTTAAAAATTTCATTATTTTTATTTTATTTTATGTGTATGAGTGTATTGCCTGAATGCATGTAGGTCACCTGTGTCATACAATGCCCTCGGAGGCCAGAAAAGGGTGTTGAATTCCTCTGGAACTGGAGCTATAGACAGTTGTTAGCCACCATGTGGGTCCTCTGGAACTGGAGCTATAGACAGTTGTTAGCCACCATGTGGGTGCTGGGAATTGAACCCAGGTCCTCTGCAAGAGCAGTCAGTGCTCTTAACTGCTGAGTCATCTCTCCAACCTATAA